TGGTCGCTGACAGTGGAGCAGTGGCTTACGTTTGTGGCAGACTGCGCACAGACGCCGACCTGGAAGGCTTTGGCCAGTGTGAAGGGCGAGTACAGCATAACCATGTATGACATGAAGGATCATTTCGTGGTGCCCTTCACACGAGGAACGGGTTGCAGCATCGCGCTACTGATGACGGAGGCAAAGCAGCAGCACGCTGAGCCTTCGCAGGTGGAGCTGATGCTTTCACACGCCTGGGCGGGCTCTGTTTTGGAGACGTACAACGGCCTGCAATCCATGGTCAATCACCATCATATCCCTCGCAGCACGCCTGTTTTCTTTTGCGTCTTCTCGATGTATCAGCCCGAGGATGGCGCACCTGGCGGCCTATCTATAGCAGAGCAACTGGCGCTCGACCCGTTCGCACGTATTATCGAATCGAAGCCCCAGCATGGCATGTTCGTTTGCCATACCAACTGTTTTGAGGTGTATGAGCGCATGTGGACCGTCCACGAGGTGGACGCCGCGAAACGTGCCAACGTTCAAATGCGGGGTCTGGCGGACTTGTGGCGGTTTGAGATCCCGGAAAAATTTGAGATTTCTACTATTCAAGGTAAGTGCCGTGCAGAGGATCGTGCTGTGCTGGTGGAGAAGATCGAGAAGCACGGAGGCTTTGAACAGCTTGACCGGACCATCTGCAGATTCCGCGAGCAGATGGCCCGCGAGCTGAAGGAATTGTTCAAGCATACCACAGATGGCACGTCCTATCAGGGGTCCAGCTATAGCACTGATGCTGTGAATTGCAAACAATCTCGGGACTGGCATTTCGAAGAAGGATCTATGAGTTACGGCATGGCAGCAAGACGAGCTGCGGAATGGAAGTACAGGGACGCGTGGCCTCAGGCTCTCTGGCCTCTCGGAGCAGATTCGTATCCATACGGCCCTCCGTGCAAGATCGACCTTTGGGTGGCAAATGGCCAACACAAGTCGCGCGTGCGCAACATGGCCGACTTTCGGTCCCTTGTGCCAACAGTGGACGGTCGAGACTTCCCAGCGTTGACGCTGGACCAGTTGCAACTGGCCAGGCCTGATTCAGAGCTCATTGCAGAGTTTGATATATCATTCTTTCCCTAAGACACTTGAGTCTGCATGAAAGTCGCCGCGTTTTCCCAATCCTTCACATGGACATGGACATGGACAATCATGTCCAGGGAAGCAGCGGTTTAGTTGTGTCCTTCGCATATGTGAGTTTGTCCGAGATCTGATCGGATGAGTGTGCAACGTGTGGTGTGTTACATCCACGTGGTTACATCATATGTGTCGGTGTATCTCTCACAACGTACGGAAATAAAATGTTTCCACGCGAACAGGAGGCCATCCACCCCACGCGGCAAAAGGCTGCACCCGTGCAAGCCCCTACAACTGTATTGCCGGAAGATCCGGCGCCGTTCCGGCGCGTTTATGGGTAGAGGCAAAGCATGCAGCACTCAGCCTTGATGTCTTCCAACGATGAGGTGGCCGCGGCGTTGCGAGGCGACGAAGCGGCGGTGCGTTCGTGGCTCGAGAGAGGCGGGCGGGTTAACGCGACGTACGAGACAGGCGAGGCGAGCGGCCTCACGCTGCTTTTGTGCGCCGCCAGCCAGGGCCACGAGCGGGTGGTCGAGCTGCTGCTGCAGCACGGCGCGGAGATCAACCAGCAGAATAACGGCGGCGAAACCGCGCTGATGGGCGCCGCTGGCCATGGCCACGAGCGGGTGGTCGAGCTGCTGTTCCGGCGTGGGGCTGAGATCAACCTGCAGAGGAGCGACGGCGTCACCGAGCTGTTTCTCGCCGCCAAGAACGGCCACGAGCGGGTGGTCGAGTTGCTGTTGCAGCGCGGCGCGGAGATCAACAAGCAGAAGAACGACGAAATCACCGCGCTGATGCTCGCCGCCTCCAACGGCCACGAGCGGGTGGTCGAGCTGCTGATTCGGCGCGGCGCGGTCTCGCCCGCCTGCGGGGCGGGGGTCGGCGGGGCGAGGGTCGGTGGGACGGCCCCGCTGCGAACACGCTGAGGCGTGGGCTGTGTCGTGTGGGTTTGTGCGTGCGTGTGGGTTTGTGTGTGCGTGTGCGTGCGTGCGTGCGCATTCGCTGTTGATGTGTGCTCGCGCGTGTGCGCTCTCGCCTTGAGCTGGTCGCTCGCCTTGAGCTGGTCGCGAGTACGCGTCGGTGAGGTAGTCGCTCTTTATTTCTCCAAGCCACGCGGGATCGGGGGGGTTGCTCATAGTTCGTCGCCGATTTTAGGCGTCCGCGGTGATCGGCTGTGATGGCGAAACGTCGGATCCTCTTTTCTAGCCGTCGGAGGGAGGGACTCCGTTTGCCGCGAGGGGTCTCCCTTGGGTGTCTCCCTGGGGTGTCTCCCTGGGGGGTCTCCCTGTGGGGTCTCCTTGGAGGGTCTCCCTGGGGGGTCTCAATGGATGCTTGGGGGCTTCAATGGATGCTTGGGGGCTTCCATGGATGCTGGGGGGTGGGGGGTGGGGGGTGGGGGGCACCGAGGCGCAGCCCCGCCCGAAGGCCGCGCAACGATTCGCCAGCCGAGCAAAAAAAATCTTTTTTTTGCGATGTCCACCCCACCGCGCCGCCGCTTGCGCCGCCTCGCCGCCGCCTCCACCGCCGCTCCCTCGCCGAACACGCCGCCGCCCGCCCGCCTCCTCGACCTCCCCACGGAGCTCCTCGCGCGCGCCCTCTCTCGCTGCGACCCTGCCGACATCGCTCGCGTCGCGGCCGTCTCGCTGCTCTTCCACGCCTCGCTCGCGGCGGAGGGCATCCGCTTGTGGGCGCAAGAGCGCGGCTTCGAGCTGCCGGCGCTGCCAGAGGGCGAGAGCTGCGCCGTGCGCTGGCTGTGCTTCGCTGGGTTGCTGCGCGAGCCCAACCCCCCGGCGAGGGCGCTGGCAGGCCAACGGCACAGCCTCTTCGTCGACGGCGAGGGGCGGCTCTCGTCGTACGGCTCTGGGCCGAATCACATCCCAGGCCTCCTTGGCCACGGCGAGGGCGTGCTGCGGCTCAACACGCCGACCCGCCTCCCGTCGACGCTGGGCGGCGAGCGCGCTGTGAGCGTGTCGGCTGGAACATACCACAGCCTCGCCCTCACCGCCAGCGGCGCCGTCTGGAGCTGGGGCTTTGGAGGCGACGGCCGCTTGGGCCACGGCGACTGGCAGCACCAGCTGCTGCCCAAGAAGATCGAGGCCTTGGCTGGCCAGCGCATCGTCGCTTTGTCGGCTGGAGGGGCGCACAGCATCGCCCTTGCCGCCGACGGCGCCGTCTGGAGCTGGGGCTATGGCCGGCTGGGACACGGTGACGAGCAGCGCCAGCTGCTGCCGAAGAAGGTCGAGGCCTTTGCTGGGCGGCGCGTCATCGCTGTGTCGGCTGGACAGAGCCACAGTATCGCCATCACCGCCGACGGCGCTGTCCGGAGCTGGGGCTATGGAGGCTCTGGCAGGCTGGGCCATGGCGACCAGCCTGCGCGCCAGCTGCTGCCGAAGAAGGTCGAGGCGTTGGCTGGCCAGCGCATCGTCGCTGTGTCGGCGGGAGACGCGCACAACCTCGCCCTCACCGCCGACGGCAGCGTCTGGAGCTGGGGCTATGGAGGCTCTGGCCGGTTGGGCCACGGCGACCAGCAGCGCCAGCTGCTGCCAAAGAAGGTCGAGGCCTTCGCTGGGCGGCGCGTCGTCGCTGTGTCGGCTGGAGCCGCGCACAGCTTCTCCCTCACCGCCGACGGCGCTGTCTGGAGCTGGGGCCATGGAGCCTATGGCCCGCTGGGCCACGGCGACGAGCAGGACCAGCTGCTGCCGAAGAAGATCGAGGCTTTTGAGGGCAAGCGCGTCGTCGCTGTGTCGGCTGGAGGCCAGCACAGCATCGCCCTCACCGCCGACGGCGCCGTCTTTACCTGGGGCGGGGGCGAGGGCGGCTGCCTAGGACACGGCGAGGACCTGCCGAACCAGCTGCTGCCCAAGAAGGTCGAGGCGTGGGCGCCGGCGCGGTGACATCGATCGAGGGCGTGATTTGCGTGTATTGAGCGGAAGGGGGAGTGTGGACGAGGAACGGTGGCAGCGCGACGGCCCATGCAGCGCAGCCGTGGTTGTCGCGTATCAGTAGCATTTGCCGACATACGCAGAGGGCTCTCGTCGGACCGTTCGTCCCAACTGTGGTGCGCGTTTTTCTTCTTTTCGCCTGCAAGCAGCGGGGCAACGGCCAGCAGGCGTTCACTCTCCCGCGCACCTCTCGGCCGCGAAATTCGAAACTGCATCATCCGCCCTATTTCCCTACACAGGCGAGTCACAATGAGTGTCGCTCTCAACGAGCTGAAGGACTACGTCGGGTGGGAATCGGGCGGGCAGGCCCGGGCCGAGTCGACGGCGAGCACAACGCCTCCGCAGCCGCCGTCCCGCGAGCGTGCGCCCCGGCTGACAGGCGGCGTCCGCCCGAATGGCGCAGGTGCTGCTGCATGTGACGCACTCGAACCTGCAGGCGCGCATGTTTGAGATCCGGCTCGACCGGCACATGAGCGTCGGCACCGTCAAGGAGAAGCTGCGGACACACACCGGTGCCGGCCCGGCGCGTTGGCGGCGGCAGCAGGACGGGCGCTGCGCTCTGAGTCGTCGCTGCTGTCTCCTACGTAGGCACTGGCTCAGTGTTCGCGCACTTGACGCTGCTCGACGAGAACCAGCAGGCACCGCTGCGGCCTCCGCCGCCGCCGCCGCTGCCGCCGCCGCCGCTGCCGCCACCGCCACCGCCGCCGCTGCCGCCGCCGCCGGCCGCGAACCCCTCGCCGCCCCGCGGTCCTACCCCGCCGCCTGTCCCCCTCGGTCAGGTCGTGGCCGACCTCTGCGATGACTCGCTGATGCTGGGTCTACGCGCCGCCCCGCCCCGCCCCGCCCCGCCCCGCCCCGCCCCTCTCCACCGGTAGGCTACCCTACCCTGCCCTGCCCGCCTCCCCCGCCCCGCCCTGCCCTGCCCTGCCCACCACTCCTCTCCGCCGCTGCCCCACAGGCTACTTTTCGCCGCTGGACGGCTACACGCTGCACATCACCGACCTCGACCCGCACTCCCTCTCGGCGGGCGGCGGGCTGGAGGACGTCAACCTCGTCAAAAAGTGCGAGACCCATATCTCCCCATATCTCCCCATATCTCCCCATATCTCCCCATATCTCCCCATATCTCCTCAACCTCGTCAAAAGTGCGAGACCCATATCTCCCCATATCTCCCCATATCTCCCCATATCTCCTCAACCTCGTCAAAAAGTGCGAGACCCATATCTCCCCATATCTCCCCATATCTCCCCATATCTCCCCATATCTCCTCAACCTCGTCAAAAAGTGCGAGACCGCCGGAGGGGGACCGGCTGGAGCGGGAGGAGAGCCCCGCTCTTCACGGCTGCTGATGTCATTAGGTACGAGATCTCGGAGGGGTAGATTGTGGGAGATTGTGGGAGATTGTGGGAGATTGTGGTGATTTCATTAGGTACGAGATCTCGGAGGAGGACTACCTGAAGCGGGAGGACAACTTCCGCGCGTGGAAGGAGGCCAAGAAGCGGGAGGACCCGAGCTGGTCCTTTGCTAAGGAGATCAAGGAGAGGCAGGACGCGCAGCGCAAAAAGGCGGACCCGAGCTTTGTGCCCGAGCCGTGGAAGGAGGTCGAGATCTAGCCGAGATCTAGCCGAGATCTAGCCGAGATCTAGCCGAGATGTAGCCGAGATATGCCCGAGCCGTGGAAGGAGGTCGACGACGAGCGAGGGGCACTGCGAGATGCGCCGAGATGCGCCGAGATGCGCCGAGATGCGCCGAGATTGCGCGAGATAGGTCGAGACGAGCGAGGAGTCGTACAAGGAGCTCGCGGAGCGGATCACGGTGGGCGACCGGTGCGAGGTGACGCTGGGGGGCAAGCGGGGCGAGGTGCGATACGTGGGCAAGATCCCGGCCATTGCGGCAGGCTGGTGGGTGGGCGTGCAGTACGACGAGCCCGTCGGAAAGGCGCGAGATA